CAAAGCATTTCTTAAAGAAAATGTATTTTCATTATATTACAAAACCTCGGGATGTCATGTTCCGATACAGACCAAAAGCATAAACAGTACGATATAGGCCTTACAACATTTATTTACATCTACTGGCCTATAATCCAAAATCCCTCGTCATCATCCAACTATGCTCTTGTTCCACTACCTGTAATACAGAAAGCTGAGTGGTTCAGGCTTGGGAGCCTGGTGAGCACATAGGGTTTTCAACCCACAATAAATAAATTTATTAATTTCATCAACCAATAATAACCCTTATTACCCATTCCCGTTATCCTCACTTTACGTCCCTAAACACCTATCATAAGGGACCTAGCCTAAGGATTATCATCGGGATGGACACTACTGCTAAGGGAATTCCTCAGCCATATATGTCCGTAAGGCAACCATGAGGGGGATGGAGTACACCGGTGAACACATCGTTCACAAACACCGACAGGTTGTGAGCCTGCTAGCGTTCCACTGGACTGTCTAGAAAGGTCCGTGGTCGTCATCTATACTATGCTAGATGACTGAAACATCAACAACTTCAACGCCTCTCATCATTTTTATTTCATCACACATCATCTATTTCATCTACCCATGTTATACCCAACATATTTGTAGATAAAAATACATATACAGTTTAAATCATTCTAAACATGTATAAAACATTCATTCAACATCCATCTAAATAAACAAACAATATATATGTACACATAGCACGTATTTTATATAAAATACTTCATATCTAGGTGTAACATGAAAGTGACTATACACTCACCTTATAAGATGGTGATTGGACAGCACTTCGTTCCTTAAAACAATCTTTTTCGATGAAACCGGGAGGTTTGCTAAAAAACCGGGTTCTGCGCGGGCAGAGTTTTGACTCGAAAAACTCTTTTTCTTGGAGACTTCGGGCTCTCTGGGGCTTTCTTCTAATGCTAGGATGGTACCCTAGGTTTGGGGGGTTTTAGTGTAGCTTAAAAGAAAGTAGAAGGTGAAAGAGAGTTGAAAATGGCAAAGGAAATCGGCCAGCCTCGCATGCTATTTATAGGGTGATTTTTGGTCTCTCAAATCGTGAGACAAGCATGCTCACATTGTGAGCTCGATCCTGCTCACTCCGTAGACCCGCCATGTGTTCCTAGCTTCGAAATGTGGTGTTTTGACTCCTCACGTCGTGAGAAATCCTTGCTCACGTCGTGAGCTTTTGACTTATCACTCCGTAGACTTGCCATGCATCTTCTAGCTTTGAAATGTGGCGTTTTGACTCCTCACATCGTGAGAATTAGTGCTCACGTCATGAGCCCGATCAGATTAGGGTTTCTGACACGTGTCATGCTCTCAAACAGCTGTATCTTCGGAAGGCCATAACATTTTCATACGAGCTTCGTTTTTGACGTTCTTTATATCCATGTGAAGGTGGAGATGTAATCTACAACTTTCATTTAGAATCCTAAGGCTAAAAAGTACTCTATCATAAACTTACTTTTTACGATTCCCAGTGTCGTGCCGGTTTTGTTGTGAAACTTCGACAGGTCATAACTTCTTCATTATAACTCGGATTTCGGCGTTCTTTATATCTCCAGAATCCTTGTCACGACCACTACAACTTTATTCATAGATATCGGGTTTATCTAACATTTTATTTTTGATGCTTATTTTCATTCTTAATTTATTATATCATCATAATTAAGTATAAAGCACATAAATTCACATAATTCACATAATACTCAAATAATTCATCTTTATTACTTCAAAACACATTACAATAGTTGACCTAGACTATTACATCGTCTTTAATGCTTAGCCCAGAAACACGGGCGTTACACAGCTGAAGGTCAATATTCCCGGGCGGTCCAGTTTTATGTTGTAGGCCCAGGGAGGGAGGTCCAACTTTTTGATGTAGGCCCAAGGAGGGAGGTCTAGCTTTATGTTGTAGACCTAGGGAGGGCGGTCTAGTTTTATGCTAAAGACCCATAGAGGGCCAGATTTGTGTTGAAGGCCAAGGTGGTGGTCAAGCTTTATGTTGTTGGCCTAAGGAGGGCGGTCCAACTTTATGCTATAGGCCCAGGGAGGGCGGTCCAACTTTGTATTGAAGGCCCATGGAGGGTGGTCCGGCTTTGTGTTAAAGGCCCAAGTGGTGGTCCAGCGTTGTGTTGTAGGCCTTGTATGCATGCATCGTATGTGTATTATTATATGGGGCATTTTGAGAAAATCATTAAGCTTTGTGCTTACAGTTGTGGATTAAATATTTTTAAGGTACTTTATCAGTTCGTGGGGATGCGAAGGCGTGACTGTACACACACATCATCGGTTTTATGATTGGAGATTCCGCGATACTTTCGTTATAACTCTGATTTATGGATTTCAATTTATGAACAAGTGGTTTTGCTTTGAATGTACCTATATGAAAATGAGTATTTATGCCAGTTTTAAAATGAAAATTTTATTCTGAAAATTGAGACGTTTCGTAACAAACACTACATAATAGGCATAACCATTAAAAGATTTATGAACAGGTACCCAAACATCAGAGTAAATGAGTTGCAAAGGTTGAGTTGTAGTAAAAGAGTTTTGGCCAAAAGGGAGTTTATGACTTTTATTAACTAAGCATGAAGAACAATGGAAGTTTAAATCAAAAAATGACTGGAAATAAGTACCTATGTCTTTTACAAGAGACTTAAAACACGAGTAGACAGATGAACAAAACATGATGAAGGTCTAGAGGAGATGCTTTCATGGTTGTGTTTATTTCAGGAGACGAGAGTGGAGTTGTGTAGTAGACATCATTTTGGTTCTCCCCCGTATGAGAAGCGCCCCTGTGTAGAGATCCTTGAGAATGCAATAAGAGGGAAAAAATTCAACAAAGACTTCATTAGTACGACAAAGTTTAGCAATAGATATGATTTGTTAACAAAGAGAAGGAGCACAAAGAACATTGGACAAGTGTAATGTATGAGGTGAGGTGGGAAGATTTATGTGACCAGTATGGGAAATAGAGAGAGTTGTACCATCGCCAAGGAGAATTTCGTCCTATCCACCATATTCCAAGACATGATGAAGGGATGAGTGATCGGATATGAGATAGTGTGAAGTTCATGTATTAAACAACCAAGTCGCAGTCGTTGGGGTTGAGATGGAGCTTCAGGAGTATCTTTGGCCATGGGTTGTTGGAGCTATGGATATTGGTGATGTTGTGGTCTTTAAGAAAGCGAACAAGTTTTCTGCAATCACGGGTCTCATGACCCGAAATCTGACAGAAATGGAAGTATGAAGAGGAGAGATTGTTCTAATATTGAGTGTTATTATTCAATCGATTTTTGCGTGGTTGGTTGTCATAGCTGAAGCGACCGATATTTTGTGACCGGAGATGAGAATCAGATGACCAATTGTTGGTCGAACCTGGTTGGCGTTGAGAGTAGTACGCAATAGCAACGAGTGGAGTAGTAGCATATTCAATTTCCTTAAGAGAGCGTTCAAAGCCAGCCATATCAAAAAGTTCAGAGAAGGAGATCGATTGTTCCTTGATTTTGATGGCAGCTGTGATTGTTCCATATTCATCTCTAAGTTGGCTTAGTATGTGAACAAGGAGATCATCCTCATCGATGGGGCTTCGAGCAATTGTAAGTTCATCAGCAATCATGCTCATGTATGTCTATGGCTTTATATCTGAGATGTTCGCATTGCGACGACTCAGTTTTCAAGAAAAGCAGATTCGTCCTTCAGACTTCTGAATTAATGGCTTTTTACTGATCTTCCGTCGTCGGCTTGTCGCATGCATATGCTTCTTTAACTCTTTCTCTCCTTTCGGTTAGTGATGTTGCATCCCTATGCTTCGTTAACTATTTCTCTCCTTTCGTTTAGTGATGAGATATCAGATCTTCAAGCACTTCCTCATGGAGGTTATTTATTTTATCTTATGTTTTTATATCCAAAAAGATACTCACTCGTATTTTTTATTTAACATAATGATTGCTAAATGCTAACTAATTGATCTGTTTTAGTTTTCTTATGGCAGGAAATGAGATTAGGGTTAGACCGTCGGTATCAAATATTCATTTTATTCAATATCTATTTCTTTTTTAATTTAAGGATTGCTAGCTTTACATCACACTATATTCTAAGCATATTTTGTACCAACTTAAAATATGTGATGGTTCCAAAAATTAATCTTTAGTTTGAATTTGATAGGTAGCCAATTGAATATCTTGAATTTATTTTGAAAGAAGATGACGAGTTGGTATTAATGGATGATGTTAAAGAGACACGAAAAAGGGTTTTAGAAGTTACGACTGATCTCTTTTTGTTTATTAATGTGTTTGGTTATACCACTGAATCGATGGAAGCTCCTAGTGTTGTTTTACAGTTATCTTGATATTCCTTTAGTAGTTGTTTGATGTCTGGATGAAAAATGTCAAAGTGGAATGTCTTTTTGAGATAATGAAAAAGTTCGATGTTATTGTTTGCTTAAAAATAGAGCTAATATTCACAAAATTGTATTGTTCACAAAGACTTTCATATTTTCTATCAAATGGGCTTGAATTGATGTCTCTTTGCAAGATTAAATTGTTCATTGCCACTGTGTTTTGGACTGCATTGTTTTATTTTAGGCTATTGTTGCTTAACGTGTTTTTTTTTAATACCTGATGATTAGATTTAGAGCCTAAAATTTATTGAAAGTTATGATGTTTTTTCTAATATTTTGCCTTCATTTATTGGAGAACATTCTTATTTTTTAAAATTGTATTTGCAATCTCCGTGCTTGCCGTTTAATATATAAAATCTCTTGCCCTAAAAAAACAATATTTTTCTAAATTTTAAGGGGCCTCAATATTTGCTTTTGCCCCGGGTCCTAAATCGGCTTGGACCGGGCTGTCGGTAATCCCAATGTCAAACTTGGATCTGGGCACCGAGGGTAGTGGTTGACCGATAACGATTGAGTCCCAATTAGCTCTTCTCGAAAATATCCTGGTTTGAGTCCTAGTCCTTCACGAATTAGCTCCAACATTATTAACGACAACTTCCTCACTTCCAATGAATATTTCCCAACAACATTGCTACAAAACACAATAAGAAACATTAATCTTCAAGAAACCATAAACTTGAAGATAGCGATTAGGGTTATTTTACCGATAGTTGGTAGGTTTTTTCGGGCCATAAGTGAATGCATTCATCTAAAGGATGACAAGGGTGTCGCAAATTGTCTCTCCAAAAATGAACTTTTTCATCAGCATAGGTATAACTGCTAGTGTAAAGTTGGCAACTTTTACTAGGATCAATTGAATATACTTTCGCCTTCTCTTCATCCGGCATATCATAGAAATCTTTGACCACCTTCATTGTGTCATCAATTAGATCTTCAGAAATTCCATGATTCATCACCTTATATCAGATTGCATAATTTAACTTCAAAAACTCTCAAATATATAAACAATTGACGATCTAACCTGGAAAAAGCCGAATTCTTCACAGGCAGCAAGTATTGTGTCAATTGTTTGACTTTGACTTTGACCTTCAGCTAGATCAATCAATGGGATGTTTTGGCATATAGGAACCTCGACAGAACCAGGCCTTTCACCGATGGGGAAGACATAGTTTTCCGGTAAGATTTGAGCAGTTCTGGACCAGGTTGAAACTAGAGTCTCCATGGTCGTTGATCCGCAAGATTAAGATGGTAAATTATGGCTGTAATTTAGCCATTTTAAAGGCCTGGACAGTTGACTTTTTTGTGATGAACATTGGACTGAAATCTTTAATTTTGTAATTGCAGTTGGTGGAGATTTAAATAGTGGCATTGGTCATCAAATCGGATGCGTCGAGCTATAGTTTAGCAAGTTCTGTGATGGAATCATGACAAAGAACCGACGAAGATGGAGTTTGTCGTCGGATATTATTTTGACTTCTATTCCCAATTTGGAAAGATGCTCCACTGGTTTACAATTACATACACCAAGTCACCAACAATAACTTTTTTACTATGGTGGATTGGTTATTTGATGATACTTGACGGATCACCGACTAATCCAATATCAAAATTGAATTTGGGGCAAACCTCGTCCCAAGTTCCAAAGCCCAAGTAAATAGCCAAACCGAAACAATAATGTCTGGGTATTTGGTTTAGAAAATTTAGTTTGGTCAACGAATAAACAATTGTTTATATTACTATATTTAGTAACTTATTGTATTTAATTTATATTTATAATTAATAGACAAAATTACATATACAGTCTCCGTGTTCTATAACAAATAATAGATTTAGGGGTTTTTTGGTATTGATTTTTAGCTTAATAAATCTTTTTCAAGAAAAAGACTTTTTGACTTATAGCATTTTCCAAAAGTAGGTTTTAAAATGTGCTTGGATTAGCTTTTGAAGAAACAAAGGCTAAAAAACCGAAAGTCACAAATTGTGAGTTTTAAAATCATAACTTTTTCTTTTTGCCAAAAAGTCATTCTAAAAGGACTTTTATAATTGCCAAACAACTTTTCAAACTTTTAACTTTTTGAAAAAGCCAAAAATCCAAAAAGTCATTTTGAAAGTTATCCCAAACACCCTCTTAGTAATTAACTTTGATGACTTTTATATTTTTAGTTTTTTACATAGTTGGTCCAAAATCATATAAAGTAATTTATATATTATTTTAAAATTTATTTTATGTTTTTTAATTGATTTAAATTTAAAAATAAATAAGATGTACTCTCTCTCAATAGTCAACCCCATGTAGCACATTGTCATTGAGTCAACCCCCTCCATGTTTTACGATCTCCATATTGAAGCAACCATGTGTCTCTTGATAACATCCCCACTCATTTATTGCTTCATGTACTTCAATTCCTTTTCTTAATCATGTTGACTTTTTTTTTTTGAGTTCATACAGCTGACCCATCTTTGATTTCATCCCCCCACCCACACAGCACCTTCAAATTGGGGCAACTGTTCCTTTAAAGATCTTGCAAACCCCATTCCTCAAAAACTCAAAATCCAGTTTTAATCCAAATGGATTATCATCAGTCAATCAAGGTTCAACAAAAGTCTGCCTACCAATCTGATCCATCAACCTCTGGTTTCCCAATCTTAGCCATTGCAGCACTCTGCATCGTAGCAACAGCTTTCTTGCTCGTTTCCTACTACTTTTTCGTCACCAGAGGCTGCTTCAACTGGCAACAAGTGAACCCATTAAGACGCTTTTCCATGTCCCGGGAACGATCCACACCCGACCCACTATCATCTCCATACTCTACTCCTCCATGGCAGGTTCGGGGACTCGATGAAGTACTAATCCGCGAGATCCCCATTTTTCGATATACAGAAAGTGAAGGCGAGAAGAGGAGTTTATACGAATGTGTTGTTTGCTTGAATGATTTTCAAGAAATGGATACGTTAAGAGTTCTTCCAAGCTGCAACCACGCGTTTCATTTAGACTGCATTGACATTTGGCTTCAGAACAATGCGAATTGCCCTCTTTGCAGATTGAGCATTTCAGGTAACACAAGGTATCCAAAAGACAAGATAATTGCACCAAGTTCTTCACCTCAAGATCCTCAAATGAGCCCCATTGGCAGGAATCAAGATTTCTTGGTGATTGAGTTGGGTGAAGAGGACCATGGGTCAAGATCACAACAATCTAGAGGTCATTCTCCAAGAAAGATTGGAGGGAAGAGGGCGAAAACAAGAAAATGTCATCATGTTTCGATTATGGGAGATGAGAACATTGATATTAGGGGAAAAGATGAACAGTTTTCTATCGAACCGATTCGGAGATCGTTCTCAATGGATTCAGCAATTGATCGCCATATATATTTATCGGTTCAGGAAATCATACAGAACAATGGAAGTCTGCAACAAATCAGAAACAATGAAGAAGGAAGTACGAGTGGAAGAACAAGAAGACCTTTCTTCTCGTTTGGAAATGGTAGAGGATCAAGAAATGCTGTTCTTCCTATCTAGCTCTAGTGTGTTGCGTATAGATGAGATGAATCGTGTTCCTTTTTTTTTTTCCTTCTATTTTGATTGGATTTTAAATTTGTTTTTCTTGATTTTTTTTTCATTTGGGTTAAGAGTTCTTAAAGGATTTATGTAAGTGATTACAAAGATTAACGTAGCTGTCTAAAGCAATGACATAAAGATTACACACAAAGAAGATAGGGTTTTAGGGTTTGGTAGCATGGGATGTAAGAATGATTTATGATACCACTTTGGCTTGCAGATGTTTTCATGAATGAAAATCATTACATTTTGTGTAAATAATTTAAATGGAAATTTTATCTCGATTAAACAATAATTGAAATTTGATGTTTTATTTGTATTAGGTTCAACATTGATAACATGAATGGTGGTGCTGATAGATATTTTATATCGTTGTTTGGAACTATTGTTTAATGAAAAGTCGGTTTGTTAAATAATTTAAATGGAAATTTCAAATGGCAAAGTGCTAACGTACTTATGAATTATTTAAATAAGAAGAATTTTATGTAACATTATTTGTAAATTCGGTCATGTTTGTTTAATCACACAATTGTTACTAATTTCAAGCATAGTTGAAAGTAATTTAATTTATTAATTAGTAAACATAATAGTTTGAAAACAAATCTTTTGAAATAAATGCAAGGAAGATGGTATTGTTTAGTTTTTTCCATTAAAAATAAATTGGTGTATTAAATGTGGTTTGGAGAAGTTAATTAGTCGAACATAAAAGCTGATAAGCATGGTTCAACAAAGGAGGGACCCGTTTAGAATTGAGGATGGGAGGTACCACTTACATTACATGATGTACAAGTCATTATTGCTTGTGGAATTGACCATTATAGTCCTACTTTGAGTAATCTCCAAGGATGATTGATAATGATTGGTTTGGTTGCTGGTCTTTCAAGTTTCTTTTGCTTATAAAGACAGAGCATCCCTATAGAATATAGACATTCATCCAAATAGAAATTTCCTATATACCTTTTCCAAAATATAATCCTACTCTATTAAAAATACTAAATTGTATTCTAAAAAAAGGGTAATCACTAATCATATTCTAATACATATCCAATAGTCAATACGTAAACTATTATTAACACGTAACGTATCCATAAAAGTATTAATGTGAGATCTGGCATTACTCCAATTCAAAAGGGTGATAGATCCAAATTGTTGCCCTGACCAATCACCGGAATGATTCCGGTGACAATAATCATTTATTTTTGAAACTTTCCATCACTACCTTCACAAACCTAGCATCGCTTCCTTTCTCTTTCTTTTGTCTCAAAGGAGGATGCCTCCTACCAGTGCACACACTAGTCGTCAGTGCTAGGATTAAGGACTTCAATAAACAAGTACAAATATGATACTATCATACTAAAGATGCGAAGAACAATAAGAACACAAGGATTTAATGTGGTTCATTTAATTAGAGTAATCAAGTCACGTCCACATATAAACTAGAGAGATTTTACCGATAATAGTTAATACACACTCTTAGTTTTAAAAGGTGTGAATTGTTCCGAGGCGATTAGTCACCTGATAGACAAAACAACTTAATAATTAACTTAAGAAGCAAAAACACCAATATCATCTCAAAAAGAAAAAGAAAAAAAAAACACAACAGAACAGAACAAAGATCAACAATAATCAAAATGCCTAAAACTCGTCATCATTATCCTTGTCATCAGTATCAAGTGCCTCCTCGACGTCATCTTCGGAAACTCCAATATTTTCTTCTATCTCTTCATCAACTTCATCAATCAATCTAAATCCACCAAAGCCCCTCTACGAGTAGAGGTTTCGGCAACACAATTTCCTTTATCTCTTAATGAAGTTGAACTTGATGCAGATACTCCGGAAGCTTTATTAACATCAGACCAAGTTAAATCATCTCCATCAAACACAAAGTCATCCTCCTCAACATCTTCCTCATCCATATGGCTCATCAACCACTCGTTACTTTCATCTAATTCTTTCAAAAGAAGAGGATATGTGGTGTCCTTTCTTTGATATCTTCTTCGCAAAGCACAATTAAATTTGATATACACCATGTCATTTAATCGACTTTGTACAAATCTATTTTTTTAATGAAGTTGTTGAAAAACGCTACAGTTCCTCTCACAACCTGTAGCATTACAAGTTAAGCTAAGAACTCAAATTGCAAATGCAAAAAAGTTGATGTTAGTTTCTTTCCTGCAACATCTTTTGACCACTTGGTATTATTCCATTCCGGAGACGTGATCATCTTTTGCAAATTGTTTTTCTGTTTAAGAATTTGGGAGAGAGTAATGAATGATGTTGCAAATATGGTGATTGCAAGCCTATGTAGGTTTCTCTGATTTGTAAATCTCCACATTAAGTTGACAATGCCAACATGGTTATAGATATAACCATTGCAGAACATGGCTCTCTTCAAAGTATTCCACACCTTTGAGATCTTTCCAATATCTTCCGGCATCAGATCTATATAGTATGCAGCACAAGGGGTCTAATGCGGTCTTGTTGCCTCTAACATCGTTCCTAAAAGAGTTTTGACAGAAAAAGTAAAGATATTGACAAACATATTCAAAACTCAAAACAGGTAAGGTAACTATGTAAGAGTAAGACTTACCTGCTTTAACATAATTAGATGCATTGTCTGTCACCACTTGCACTACATTCTCCTCTCCCATCTCTTACACCATATCATCAAACATTTTAAACAATGTTTATGCGTATTTTTTGATTTCCAATACATCCAAAGACTTTAAAAAGGTTGAACCTTTATGAGAGTTAACTAAAAAGTTCACAATATCTTTATGAACAATTGAATCACGCCATCCATCTAACAGGATCGAGCAACATTTTACTGCTCATTCTTTCTTGTATTCTTTCAACGTTGTGGATTCCACTTCATTTTTAAGCAGAGAAACTCTAAGCTCATGCATGCTTGCTGGTTTGAATATCGGGCCAAATTGCAATAGATTTCATTGCAATGTGAAAGCTATCGTAAGATGTTGCGTTAAAAGGTAGCCCCGCATCGTAAAACCAACGAGCTATATCCTTACAGGCCTTGTCCCTTAGGTTTTTTCAACACACTTCGTTTATTGTTTGTTGCTTTCCACCTTTTCTACCTTTGAGTTTGTCTTTTGGTTTATTGGCGTAAAACTTGTCGAGAGGACCCTTTTGTCTTGGTTTCTTAGGTGGGGTCTTGGTACTTCCTTGTCCTGTACCATATTTATCTTCACCGTAGTCATCAAGTTCCATTACATTCAAAGGGTCGGTAGTTCTTGCACATTTTTATGTTTCTTTTTGGATCATGTAGTTTTTTACTTATTCTCGCACATGCTCGGGACACTTGGGGCACTTTTTAAAAATTTTGAAGCCTCCAACTAAATGTTGTTTTAGTCGATATACTCCTCTAGAGGTTGTCTTTGCACAACATTTGCACTTAAATTTGTGCCTATTTGTTGCATCAGGTGTACCATATTTCCTATCTGGATCCGTTGCATCATTAATCGAGCCAACAATAGCATTGTTGGTGTCCATAATATCAACGGAATTGGAAGTTGGGAAGAAAAGAAAGACCTCAAAAGAATGGAAGCATAAGAAAATAGATGAGGGAAGAAAAGTGCATGAATTTATAGAGAATGTGGGAAGAAACTGCATCCTTTATGGTAATTGTCGAGACCTCTTGGAATATAGAAGAAATAAATACAGAGTCGATGTTGGAATTGTCGAGACCTCATTGATGCATGTGAAGCGTGAATTGAACTAAACGACGCACATGATTACAGTTAAAAAGCAATAAAATAATTAATATGGTAGAATTGAGCCCAAAAACCCAAATCCTAACACCGGTACATGAATCCCTAAAGGCGAGGCCATGGTGCCTCAAAAAAATCGACGACTCACAGAAAAAATCTATGCTTAATCGCATGGGAGGCTAGAAGCTTTCCTATTCTCGCCTTAAGTCGCCTAGCGCCTTAGGCGCACATTTTAAAACACAACACACGCTTTCTACATAAGTATTACAATCATACAAAAAGATCTATTTATAATAACCGTTTGATCTAGTTTCTTCTTAATCGGGGCTCATGGGCCTATGACATCACGTACATAGCCTCCTCCATCATTAGTCGCACGTCCTCCCTTTTAAGTCTTCTCCTTAATTGATTTTAAGAAACCCTCCAAATCAAGTTCCTCCATGTGCGTGTTTTTGGTATTTCTTAGGAAACCCGATACATCCTTTTTTGTTGATTCGGAGGGTTTACTAGGGTTTACTAGTTTCTTTGTCTGATGTAATTCCTTAAGAAGCATCATATAAATTGTCATTTCTTGCTTTCATATGTTAGATTGCCATCGTTTAGAAGGTTAAAATGATAAATTTTCTCGTTTAACAAAATTTCCAAACATCATGTTTTCACTCATTGCTAAATTATTCAGAGATTAGCAAGCAACCCAAACTTATTACCACTTGGGACAATATTCACAAAGATTAAAGTCAAATGGTCGAACCGAAAGTGAAAAAACAATTGCTTAGATGTTAAAAAAAATTAGAATGTCACTTGGACATTTCCAAACATCATGTTTTCACTCATTGCTAAATTATTCAGAGATTAGCAAGCAACCCAAACTTATTACCACTTGGGACAATATTCACAAAGATTAAAGTCAAATGGTCGAACCGAAAGTGAAAAAACAATTGCTTAGATGTTAAAAAAAATTAGAATGTCACTTGGACATAGAAGTGCTCACAGGTCACTTCTATCTAATTGTCTTTTTCCTAAATGTTCATTTTTTTTTACTTGATCTTGGTGAATTTGATGATATTTTAAGGTGTTGTTTGTTTTTTGTAAAAGATATCTTTGATCTTTTTATTGTTGCGTGGCGCAGCACACACACACACAATACTTTTCATCTCGCAATTGTTTGTTTTTTAGAAGTCTTCGGAGTAAAAAACTTCTACGCGTGTTCTGTTTGAGGCAACACTTGTATTGTCTCTTCTAATCTTTTTTTTTTGCTGAAATCTTGATGAATCTTGATTATATATTGTTGAATTCTTGTTTCACATTTTTTTTCGTTTTTTTTTTTTGGTTTATTCTTGCTAAATGATTTTTTTTATATTGAATAATGATAATTTCTTGTTGAAATATAATTATTTTTTTTTTGTTGAAATATTATTATTTTTTTGCTAAAATATCATAAATTCTTGCTGAAATGTCATACATTATTAATTTTTCGGTATTAAAAAACTATTTTCGTTATATAAAATCAGTTTATTTTATTTTTTAATATCTGCAGCAACGTGCAAATGTTAAAAAACAAATACGCTTCTTATTACAGTTTGCAGTCGTTTGGTCCACATCTTCTGATGCGAGGGTTGCAGAGACGGTCTGCAGACTTCATGAATTTTTACTTCAAAAAAACAAACACACCTAAGTCTTATGCCTCATTGCCTCTATATTTATTAAAGATAGTAACACCTATTTAACAGCTTCCAAAGAACTTAGTCCTAACTTTTAATAAAAAATGTCCTCATATATTTTTACTTTCCATTTCCCTTGGATTGGCCACATTTTCTCAAATACTATCTAAACATCATCTATCAAATTATCTGGACAACATTTTATCAGGATAGCACCTAAATGGAAATATATAGGCTTTCGAAGACTGTAAAATAGGAACATGAATTGTCCTTTAAAAGAAACTCTTTCTAACAACTTGAAAAACACAATTATAATCTCAACTTTCATAACATATTAGTTGCAGAACAATTCAAGATTTATACATTCACTTTTCCGCTTTTCAGTCAAAATTTATAGATCAAATTACCTTTACTGTTGCCCATAAAGCAAAAAGCATTGGAGCACAATAAAAGCTTCCTGCTAAAAGCTTATATAAATGAAAGTCGATAATAAGCAGTATAGCTTCTTCAAAAAACTTCATCCAATAATCAAATCTACATTCAATACCTCTAATCAACCAAAACACCACTTCGTGAGCTTCTTCTCCTCACAGGATGTGCTGGCAAAGCCTTTTGTTCCTCAAATTCACCACAAGCTTTCACCTTTAATTCCTGAAGAACACGTTCAGCTTCTTTAAGTTCATCACAAGCACTTGGCCCATGTCCTCTCCATGCATCAATGGCCTTCTCCTGGAAGTTTATTGCAAGCGTATAACTGCAAAACACAAACCAAATGAGTGTTTCTCTTTGACTTAATACAGAAATAAAGACTTAACAAAGAAAGTAAGAGAAATTATGGAAAAAAAAGAAAGAAACATGGCCTTACCTTCGCATTGCACTATATGCTTTTGAAAGATTTTGACACGCCTCGATTGAATCCACATGATGAGGACCAAGTGAAATGTCCATAATATCCTTTGCCAATGCAAAAACTTGAGCTGCAGATTGAGGTCTATCTAGTTCTAAATATGCAGCACCTAAGTTATTATACACATATCCAACTCCAAAATGTCTAGAACCAAAATTCTCCTTCAATCTTTCAACTGCATCTTCCAAATAAGGTATTGATTCTTGAACCTTTCCTGTTAACAAAAGTAACCACCCGATTCTAGCAGAAGCACTACCAACCGAATGTTGTTCTTGTGGTATCTTTTCAAGCATCATTTGTGCTTTTTTCAACAAAGAAATTGCAGTTTCAAATTCGTTCATTGTTTCATACTGCATTGATATTTCCATATATGCTTCTGATACTTCTAGAGGTGACAATCTTTCCTTTTTTTCCAAAATCCCACATGCCATCTGTAAACATCGTTTGGCTTCTGAAAACTTATCTTGATTACATAAAGCTTTTGCCATGGATACAAAGATCATAGCACGATCTTCACTTTCTTTATCAGTTTGAAGAACCACACCCTTTAAAGTATTAATTGCCCCATCAAACTTTCCTAATGCAATTTGCATATTGGCTGCATCGATTTCAGCTCTAAGCAATTCGGATGTGAGACCCCAATTCTTTAAAACTTTTTGTGATAATTGATTTTGCTCTAATGCCTTTTCGTGCTGTTCTAAACCAGTGTAAATTACACCTAGTAAACGTCTATCATGTGCAACTTCAACTGAATTGGTTCCTAATTCTACCTTGTGTATCTCTGTGGCTTTTATGCAATATGGTAATGCTTCTTTGAAGTTTAAAAGGGCGACATATGCTTCTGACATGTCCCTATATGCGTTCCCGAGTTCTCTACTGTCTTTATCCAATGTCATCTCTTTAATCTCTAAACATATTTTTAGATCACTAATGGCGTCTTCTCTTCTACCCATTGCATTCTTTGTGTTTGCTAAATTAAGATGAACAGCATGCAGTACATGTTTGATTTCAAAACCATCATTATCGATTGTTTCCTCTAGTTTTTTTAAGATCCTATTGGCTCTATTGAGATATCCTAAGCTTTCACTGAACCTACTCAAGGTATAAGAAGCAGAACCCAATAACTGTAAATTCATAGCAAGGGGTAAAGATAAATCACTATCGTGACCATTTTCATCCAAGATTTTCAGAGCTTTATTTGCATAATCTATAACCTTTTCCGGATACTGACCTTCTTCGTCGAGTTTAAGCCCGATTTTCAAGCAAGCTAAACCAAGTTCCTTTTCATCGAGAATGGCTTCCATTTCTTGAAATGCTTTGATCATTTCATCGGATGTTTTCGCAGCCTCGAAATCATCAACAAGTTGTGATCTTTCTTTGAGTTTCCTTTGTCGTGAAGATAATTGAGATGAGGGTTGACGTGGGTCCACCAGGGTGCTGAGATTATGAGATGGGTTATTAAGGGAATGGCGTGGTTTGCTTGAAAAGAGCAAATAATGTGTTCTAGAGCAGGACCTTGAATCGGGATTAGAAGGGTGGTTGTTATTGTGTTCATCAATGGAGGAAAGGGATGAAAACTGACATGAGAAATCTTGAGAGAAAACAGAAATTGAAGATTTGGGGTAAAATTTTTGGAATTGAAAGTGCAGAAGTCTCAATGAAGCTCTTTTCATGGCGGAATTAGAGATCAAGTACAGTAGCAAATCGTTTTCCGGGTAGCAACTTTCAGACAAATCGAGAGCTGGGAATTGTGAATTGAAATTTGGAGGTGCAAGTGAAACCCTTGTTAAAACCCTAGCAGGTGTGACGTCATATTCAATCCTTAAAAATTATCAAATTTCATCCGAGCTCATTTAACCCGTTATCATGCCATCTCTACAAACAACAAATCACATCTACAACTAAGGTGTAAGTGAGACAAGCCAACTCGTGAGAAACTTAAAACCGATTCGGAAAATATTCGAAATCGACTCGACCTTAATCAAGCCGAGCTCGAGCTACTCGAGTATCTTATCGAGACGAGCTTTAGTACTAAAATATTCGGCTCGTAAAGCTCGCGAGCTTAATCGAACTTAGTTTAATTTACATATATTCCATTTCTTTATAACTGTTCATTTATAACATATATGTCATTTCTTTATAATTATTCATTTATGACATATATGCTTGAAGTTATATTGACATTAGGTGATTAATAGTGATTTTTTTGGTAGTTTGGACATTTCATGTGGAATGTTTTAATATTTCTTACTCAATTTAGTGATTTTAATTTTTTTTTTTTAAATTAGTTGAGCCTAACTGAGTCGAGCTCTATATTATCGAGTATTTCATGAGCCCGAGCTCAAGCTTAAATACAAGGCTCGAGTCGAGTTCGAGCCGAGTTTCGAGCTCGAGTATTTTAGTCGAGCCGAGCTTCGAACTTGGTAGTACTCGGCTCGACTCGACTCCTTTACACCCCTATCTACACCTGACTAGTGTCATGTCGTTTCAAGACATTAAACGGGTTGAGAGGTCTTGATTCTAACCCGATTCGTTTAGTTATCATGTCGTGTCGTGTCAACCCAATTATTTTCGTGTCGGTTTCGTGTCGAGTTTCGGGTTAAGGTTTAGACCTTGTAAATATGTTGTGTCATGTCGGGTTTAAACATGTCACACCCCAAAACCGAAACGGCGGAAACGTTCTGGGGTGGAGGACGTCATGTTTAGTATCACAAGACATGCATCATAGTAAGCAAAGTAATAAACAACCATTTCATTAGAAAGAAAGTGTTTACAAAGTATGTGATTCACATAATATAGAATACAAATCAAATAACAAAAAGACATGAAGCTATACTGCTCCATCTTCCGAATCCCAGTGTGCGAACCTGTCTACTGGTCTCCTGAGAATATAAGTTATTTTGAAAGTATAGATCAACATTTAAGCTGGTGAGTTCATAAGATTTAAGTGATGTAGTAAGTAGTAAGAAAGTTGTAGAAAGTTGTAGTAAGTTGTAGTAAGTTCTGTTTAGAAAAGTTTACATGTTCCTCCAGAAAATCCTATATTTCCTGCTTTGATGAAAGATAAGTAAAAATGACTCTACGGTCCTTTCTATGAGTATTAAATGAATACAAGTTATATAAAACCCAGAGTAAACAAACAATCGGTTGTGTGTATCTGCCCTAAGCACACAACCAAACAAGGAACAGGAAATGAGGCGGAAGACACACATCCCATTGTTTGTTTGGTCATCGTTGTATATAATCCTGGCGTATGCACTTGGTACTCACGGAGTTTACTGTAATAGTTCCTTTAGTTTGATGAAAAATTTCCTTAAGAAAACTCTTATTTCTTATAATAAAAATGGTAAACACAGTGGTTCCTTCTATAATCAATTAGTTTATACTATCTATATATAATCTAATATCGAACAGATAGTTAATTGTGTGAGTCTGCCCTAAGCCCACAACCAAACAAGGAACAGGAAATGAGGCGGAAAGCACACCTCCAACTACCTATCGGATATTAATTATATATAGCCTTGATGTATAAACTAAGGTATTATGGAATTAACCACCTAAGGTCCTTTAAGTTATATTGGTTTAATAAAATGGATTAAACCCTTTACTGGTTAAGTTTCTAGTTTTGAATACCAAAAGTTATTTATTTGAAAAGTATGTTTTGTACTAGAAAACGGTGCATGGAATTAGTGTCCTATGACCTGGCCCATACCTGGTACCCCTTATGATTACTTGGTGTATACAGAACATACATATAGCTAAGATCGGATAGATAGTAGGCTGGGTGAATCTGCTCTAAGCCCACAACCAAACAAGGAACAGGAAATGAAGCGGAAAGCACACATCATACTACCTGTCGGACCCGATTAATATATATCCCTGAATGCATACTGTAACATTCGGATTCCCAGGTATTCTATGTTATTCATTTATTTTGAGTTATGAGGAGGGACTCGACGAGTTGACGCCTAGACTCGTCGAGTAGGATCACGATTTGCTGACTGGATTAATGAAGGGACCCGACGAGTCGATGGGTGGACTCGACGAGTCCGCGCTGTGGACAGAAACCCTAAATCTTTGGGTCTGTGCCTTATTTAAGGGTCCTTATAGCCCTCAATTGCGGCTACCAGTCCAGAGAGAGAAACCCTAGAGAGCTTGAACGAGTGGTATAAGAGAGAGCCTTTTTGATCCTTATTAGTGTGATTTTGCAAAGAAGAAGGTGTTTCCAGCAAGAGGAGGTCAAGGGGATTCCTATTCTGTGGATTTCCAGCTTGGATCTGTAACTTTGAGGTAGTAAATCAATCCCTTCTTCTGTTTAGTATGAGATCCTTGAATTTAGGGTTTTCTATACCCTTTTATTGGCTTGAAATGATGAGTATATTGTCCCTTTGAGTGTTAGACTCTGGATCTGGACCTTTAGAGGTCCAAAGAGCCTTATCCAACCTGCTTTATGTTGTTCCATGGAAGAAATGATCTTAGGTTGCCTTTTTAGAGATGATTTCACCAAAGAGAGCCCTATGTGTGTTGCATGAGTGTAAAGGTCGGACCTTTACGTGATTATTGTGAATGGGGAAGGCAGATCTATAGGTTAGAGAAGCGGATCTGACCTCAGAAGGTCATTTGAGTGTTGCATGGACGCTACTCGCCGAGTTCATAAGTGGAGTCGACGAGTCGAGTTGGGGTTGCCCCGCGATTCGTGACAGGTGTAACCCGTCGAGTGAAGGGATTACTCGACGTGCCAAGTGAGGCTAGAAGGATTCCGAGGACCCGCATGGACTCGCCGAGTCGCCCATGTGCACTCGACGAGTCGGGTCAAAGTTTGACCGTTGACTTCAGTTGACCTTAGGGTTTTGGTCAAGCTGATTAAGGAGAGTTCAGGGAGGAGTAGGATGGCCTTCTACCCAATCTTTAGAGATGAGGCTATGAGAGGGTATTGATCAGGAATGTTATTCGTATGATAGGAGGAGGCTAGGTCGGGACGTCAAGCACGAGAGTTTATCCGACTTCGTACGAGGTGAGTCTTCTCACTATACTGTACCTATAGTGGTACCTATGTGTGACCGGAAGGTCTTATATGCGATGAGATGTATGTGCTGTATGCTGTTATATGATATGTATGTGTTATGTATGTTATGAATGATAAGGACCGGAAGGTCATCATGATGTGGACCGGAAGGTCGGGATGATATGGACCGGAAGGTCATTACGGGTAGGGCCGGAAGGTCTACCAGGGTTGTGGGACGGAAGTCCTCTGAGACACAGTGACCGGAAGGTCTTATAGCCTTGAGTGGCGTATGTGCGTATGTGGTATTTTGGGGAACTCACTAAGCATTTATGCTTACAGTTGTTGTGTTATGTGTTTCAGGTACTAGCGAGGATCGCGGGAAGACGCCGACATGATCCGTACACACTCATGGAGTTTAGGTCTTGAGATTCTGGGATATGTTTTGTTATGATAACATTGGATACATTATGTTTTGATATTACCTTATGAATAAAAGTATGTTTTAAAAATGAAAAATTGTTTTGCAAATTTACGTTGTTACACATACAGTAAGGAATCATAAAGTTAGCATTATAGGCCCCCTATCTACTGAATGTACTAGACTCGACTGCTCTGTGTGTCGTTTGAAAAGATGTAAGTTTTCCCTAGTTTATAACTATCTTGACTGGAAAATAGTTTGCATTAACTTTCAAGCGGAATTGTTACAAAATGAAAGTATTTGGAAAATATAAGTACTCAGTTGTCTTATGAACTGACATCATGCAGTACTGATTTACCTTAAAACATGTTTGTTTTATTAAGGTCATAATGTGATGAATAGTCCCCATACTATACGCTCTCCCTGCAAGAGATTCTGGGAACCAAACGCGACTTCGGCAAACCAGTTGCTGAGCCGTGAAGTAGGGTCACATTTAAGTTATACGATCATGTACACCCAATTTAACTATCACCTTTTGTTTAGAACAATGAGTTAGTGATTCATTGGTATAATTAGATCCTGTAATGTTCATATGCTATAGCATCTTAGTATGTTTGTTTTGTTATAGTATATTAGTATGTTTGTTCTGAAGTATTGTATCTACCTCCCTGTTTCTCTTTATAGTATGTTCTAGCATCTAGTATGAACTGAACCTCTAAACTATACCCCTTATAGTTTACTAGTATTTTACTTGAACTGTTATTGAAAAGACTCATTTTACTACTAAGTTATGCTTGTACTTTAAAAATGGAGTTTTGTTAAACTATAAAGTAACATAACTTTAAAAGAGTTTTTGAAATGTTTTGATCACTTATTAAAGACATAAGCAATCTTTTGAAAAATGTTTATAACAAACCATTACACAATTATCATTGTGTTCAACTTGTATCCCCCCTAAAAGCATTTAAAACAGTTAAAAGATTCATTACAGGGGTATGAACTCACCTTATGTGGGTGATTCAAAGAATATGCGCGTAAGGATGAGAAGTTCCACGAATGAAGTCCCGAGACACAAACGAGTCCTAAATGACATATATGGCATGTATTGTCATGAATATAGTGTTTATAAGCAACTATATGAAAGGAAACACCCTTAGGGACTTGGACTAAGTGATGAAATCACATGTGATTCATCAAAGGGATGTTTATAGCCAAGAAATTGTGTTTACGGCCATGGGTTTACGGCCATGGAGATTTGGGCCGTAAACTCATGGTAAAAGGTGCATAAGAGGGTGTTTGAATGCTAGGGAAACTTGAGGGACTATTGCTCTACAAGAAGATGAGCAAAACTAACCTTTTAGGAGGTGTTGAGGTGTTTACGGCCACCCCAAA